CAGCAGGAAAATTAGGAAAAAATGCAATAAGGTTATTTCAGGCCAGCAAGTGGCAAAGCGGTTTAAGAGGCTGGATCCCATGTGGCCCACTTTGTGGGCCATGTGAGATCCTGCGCCTTAGCTGCCACACCACCTCCTGCGGCCCATTGTTAACGGGTGAATCCCAGACCCATTTTCTTTCTTCCTTTTTTTTTTTTTTTTTTTTTTTGGAGAGATTTTTGCTATAGGGCACGTGTGCTCACCAGACAGACAGAGAGACAGAAAGTGAAAAATCACCCCCCCGGGGGGATGACCACGCCACAATCCCTTCTCCTCCATTCTCCTCTCAGGATCTTGGACACACACGCACACGCACCCGGCGTGAGTTTAAGCTACCAGGTCTGGGACGCGAACCGCAGTAGACTATGTGGGAGTCCAGCAACATAGCCATTACACTAACTGCTGGTCCCAGCCCAGGCCCATTTTCTGAAAATCATGTCAGGGGCCATCAGAGGGCATAGCGGTTATGTCATTGGCCTCCCATGAAACCAATTTGGTTCGAATCCCAGACCCAATGGCTTGAAAATCACACCAGGCACATGTGTGGGCATGCACGCCCAAGATCTCGGGAGAGTAGAGAAGGGACTGTGACGTGGCCATTCTCTCTGGGGGCACTTTCCCTCTCGCTGTGTCTGTCCTCTCTCCTGCGAGTGCATGTGCCCTAATGCAAAAACCTCTTAAAAAGAAAACTCACGGGAACCAGCAGTTAGCGTAATGGCTATGTTGCTGGACTCCCATGTAGTCGACTGCGGTTTGCGTCCCGGACCCGGTGGCTTAAACTCACGCTGGGCGCGTGTGCGTGTGTGCCCAAGATCCCGAGAGGAGACTGGAGGAGAAGGGATTGAGGCGTGGCCATCCCCCCTGGGGGGTGATTTCCCGCTTTCTATCTCTCTGTCTGGCGAGTGCACGCGCCCTATAGTAAAAACCTCTAAAAAAACCAAAAAAAAACAAAAAAGAACTCACACCGGGTGTGGGTGCGCATGTGCCCCAAACCCAGAGGGCTGCGGTACACTGTCCCCAGGAAGGGGAGGAGCGGTTCCTCCCCTTCCCTCACTCGCTTGCTCTCTTGGTGAGAGCATGTGCCCTACTGCAAATTTTGAAAGACAAAAAGAAGAAATCTTCTAAAAAACTATTTAGCATTAAGATGGCATTACATGTATGACTCTCCTTGGTTTTCCTTCACTCACAATGGACTGCATGCATACTCAAGAGCGGACGGATACAAGGGAGAGGCGAACCCCTCCACGGGATGGGCAAGTCACAGCCCTCTCCTTCCAGTCCTCCAGCCATCGAATGTTGGGCAAAATGTGACCGCATGGCTTGTGTCAGGCTGAAGGGGGCAGGGGTGCAAATCGTGGTCCCGATGTGGGATCTGGCTTCCCTTGAGCTGCACACGACCATGGAGCTGGCCCGCTGTGCCTTTCTCGTTTGTGCATGTTTGCCTTAGGGCACGTACGCTTACTAGAGATAGCGACAAGAAAGTAAGAAAGCACTCCTGGGGGATAGCCACGCCGCAATCCTTCTCCTCCAGGCTCCTCTTGCGAGTTTCGGGCATACATGCACGTGCGCCTGGTGTGACTCGGGCCGCCAGGTCCAGGACGGGAATAGCACAAACAGCCATTTGGGACCCAGTACCTTAACCTTCATGCCACCTGGCCCTCTCTGCCTTTAAACAAAGCCTGAGCATAAACAGTTAGGAGGGCCATTTCCCTTATGTGGAACTAGACAAGATGATTTTTCTTTTGCTTTCTCTATATTTCTATTTTTCAATAAAAAAACATAATTAGGAAAAGTTAATCAGGAAAAGTTTAAGCTTATAAAATTAAGAAAATTGGGCAAGCCCCATACCCTAGTAGCTAAGGGACCCAGATCCCGCATGGCTGACCATGGTTTAACCCCAGTCCCAGAGGCTTGAAAACAAACCAGGCACAGATGTGTTCGTGCTCCAAATCCCAACAGGGTGGAGAAGTGAAGGAGAGGGGCTAAGGGGGGACCACACCCTCTGGGGGAGCCTTCTCTCCCTCTCTCTCTCTCTCTGCCCTTGTCTGGCAAGCGAGTGAGTCTTCTGGTAGTTAACAAAAATATGGAAATCGAAAGTATTCACTTACCTAAAATCTTCTGCCCTTCTGCTCTGCTGTTAGATTTTCGGTGTTTTGTTTTGTCTTGTTTTCATTTAGACAAAACAGGAAAGTGTAAACAAGTGATTTCAACCAAGAACCCTGAATCTGTCAGGGCTAGATGCCTCTTCACATCTCGTTTCCTTACCATGCCGCCTCTCCTGCTCTGCTCACAACAAAACTCCCCAAGTTCACAGAAACACACACAGACGCCCCCATTACCACCACCTCCCGCAATTCCACAGTCCAAACTAGACCCTGGTCCTGACATATGTCTGCCTGCGAAGCCCCGCCACAGAGGCCGCACCATCAGTCGGCTCACCTCGAATGGGTTCAAGTTGAAGTAAGAGGAACCAGGACGGGTCAATCGTTCAATTTGATTTTTGGACGTTAGAACTGAATCTCTCTTCTCTATTTGTTTTACCTAAAATTAAGAGAATTAAAAACTTTATTAATATGCTTCAACAATAAACTGAATTGTTTAGTTAACACAATATTCACTAATATATACAGTTAAAATTTATTTGTGCATTCACCACATGCAAAATATCCTGCTAACATTTTGAGGAATAATTACAACAGCTATCACTTATTGAAAATAACAGAATTGTACACGTATTCATTAATCTCGCTGATTCTATAGGTTTGACATTGTCATCCCCCTCTGCTGGTAAGAAAGCTGAGGTTTACAGAGGTTAACTGGCCATTCCCAGCTGCTCATTTGTAAATCATGACATTAACCCCAACAGTTTGATTCCAGGGCAGACCTAAAGAGGATTCAAAGATAAGTAAGCCAGGGCCAGCAGGTGGTGTGATGGTTAAGGCACTGGACTCCCACATGGCCAACCATGGTTCAAATCCTGGACCTGGCGCCTTGCTTTTTCTCTCTTGTCTCTCTGTGATGAGTGCACATGCCGTACAGAAAATTTTAATAAATAAAATTAAACAATTATTAATTAAAAAAATATAAACCACAGCTTCAAAGAATCTACACTCAGACGACGACGGGGAATGTATCTGCTGTGGTCGGGCTTTGTTCCCGATTTTCTTTCTCTTTTTAGGTTTTGCCATAGGGCACATGTGTTCTCCAGAGAGGCGAGGTGAGACACCACTCCCCAGGGACAGGGCCACACTGCAAACCCTTCACCATCCCTCCTTCTCCAGTTTCTTCTCAGGATTCTGGCACGATTTTCAAGCCACTAGGTCCATGACTTGTACCGCCATGACTTGAACCATGGTCGGCCAAGTGGAAATCCAGCACCTGAATCTCCCCACCACCTGCTGGCCCCTCACTGAGATTCTTTACTTTAAAGAAAAAGACTCTCATCAAAAGCTTCTGTGGGAGGGAACAAGTAGGCACACCTAACAGAGTTTTTTAAAACCCCAGACCTGAACAAAATACCAAGAGAGACAAACACCAGAAGGTGCCAAGGAAATGCCCTGGGTGCCACCGCCAGAGCTTAAGCGCCAGCTGGGGCGAGTGTCTGCGATTGTGTGCCACCTTTATGCTTATGGCCAAAACACGGCTGCACAGAATTTCAGGAACATAAGGAAAGTCACTCTGGGCTAGCACCGTAGCCAATGGGCACGGGACCGGATCCCACACCGTCAACCGTGGTTTGTCCCAGCCCTAGCAAAACACACCAGGTGCACGTGTGTGCCCCAAACCCTGACAGGACGGAGGAACGGTGAAGGGACTGTGGCCTGACTGCAACCCGCTGGGGGTGCGTTATCCCTCCGCCTCTGTCTGTCTGTCTCTGGCAAACACAAGTGTCCTTTAGCAAATAAAAAAAAAAAAAAAAAAAACCTGAAAGAAAGAAAAAAACAGTCACTCCAGTCAGTACCGCCCCTGGAAGTTCTGCAGTGGCACGGCCACTGCCCCATACCCCACCCTCTCCCAGGCCTGGTCTCCCTGGTGACACTCACCCGACCTGACCCTGCACTGTCAGGAACCTTCCCTGTGTGGCTCAGGTCACCTCCCCGGTACCTAACCCCCAGGACAGCGAGTGCTGGCAGGCACTGGCGGGACGGTGACTGTCCCCACGCATCCGGACAGACTGCAGTTCCGTTTCCACTAAGAGATGGCCTGAGAAACGAGTTCCACGGTAACTGCTCGGGGCCACTGAAAACCAGTGAACTTTCAGCACCAGGCGTCTCAGGACAGAGAACACGGACGTGCCCAGTCTTCAACCTTAGCCTTGGAGAAGCTGTAACCAGCCGCAAACTCGGCTGCAGGGCGAACGGCACCAGGCCTACAGCCCAGCTCGCGGCGGGCGAGAGGCCGCTCCGCGTCTCAGATCCACGACAAGCGAGGCCCGTCTCAGCCGCGCTGCAGCTCAAGGCCGGCGATTTTATGACGCCCCTTGGGACGCACGAACTCGCGATCTCCACGTCAACTCATTCCGGGGTCAGCTCGCTGCACAGCGCGGAGACAGCGCTCCTGCCCGGCTCACGGTCCCGCCAGCACGGCCACTGAGCCCCTCCACCTGCCGGTGGGGACGCTCGACGCG